TTAGATCAAGTGACAAGTATGTACAAACAGCCTTGTGAAGAAGAACATCTGAAGATATAGATTATGTAAATGAAGACCTAATTTGCATAATTAATGAGTATTTGCTATAATTTCACAGTGGTAACTGCGTACTTTCATACATGCCGCATTTGGAAGTTTAGTGAAGGCAAACACCAATAAACAAAACTTTCTCAAATCATTTGCATAATTTATGAGGAAGTGCTGGAATAGCCTATTTAAGAGAAGGCTGTGATTGGGTGTAGAATATGATCAACTGATATAATCTATGTTTGCAGTAAAATAAGGATCATATTTTCATTATCGATATGGGAAATTTATAATTTCGCCAGTCGGAACGATTAACATCATTCAGCGAAGGTATGAAATCGTGTAACTCTGTTTTGCCATCCTGAAGCCGCATTGGATACCTTAAATCTATATAAAAATATAGGTCGATCAAGGTTTAAATAGACATCCAGGTAATATCATAAGCCAAAAAGCAGTTACTCAAGCAACTGGATATGATTTTGAAAACGTCAGACGTTTCAGCTAGTATCCACTAGCTTTTGTCAGTGACTGAGAGACCAGAGGGGAAATGCAGGTCTCTCAGTCAGAAACGAAAGCTAGTGGATACTAGCTGAAATGTCTGACCGTTTCCAAAATCATATCCAGTTGCTTGAGTAACTGCTTTTTGGCCTATAACGATATAGGGCTGGAGCAAACAACCGTCCCTCCCGCACGTGCATGTATGTCTAAATTGTCCTGAACTTTTTATCAGTCAGTGACGATCGATATATCCGTGGCAGGAACCCATTCTATTACGGGGCGACATGTGGTGTGACTGAGAGGACAACTACACTGCCCGCCCCAGCAATGAGACCAGGCTCGGTCAATGTTTCCCTGCCCCAGACCTGACTATCATTGATCACTCGCCCGGGCTGTGCTCAGAGTGCACAAATGTCTGAAAACTGTTGCGGCATCACGTAAAACGGGAGCGTTTCCGTCACGGGTCGGGCGTTCCGGCGATCCCGAGTCCTCCCCCGGCCGTCACCCGGATACATCAACGTCCGGCAGCCGCATGTTTCCAGCCGTCATCTCGGCTCGGCTCAATTTCCTGCCGTATTGCAAATGACTTTGAGTGATATTGACCTTAACGTAACGACTTTGGCTGGGTGACATGTCCTACATAGTTTCACATCTGTGTTCCAACTTGGGGGGAGGGGGGAGGGTAGAAATATGGAAACACAGAAACAGCAAAAATATTTGTACTACATCTTCAGTTCGATTGTAGCAATTCATTGCCTACATGATAATTGTGTGTACGTTTTTATTGTTCTTGTTTTGTCACTTTGTGTGCGTGTCTGTCTGTCTGTGTTATTTATGGTCTGTATGTATAACTTCAAAACGGCTTTATGGATTGTGATGATATTTGGTATGTGGGTAGGTCTTAGGAAGACAAAGATCAAGGCCAAATTTGAGCCTCCTGGTGGCTAACTTTGGCACTGCAGTAGGACTTCCGGTTTTTGTATTTTTTTTCCTAGACATGATCTTGATTTTTCGTGGCTGATATCTTGTCATGTCAGGAACAAGACGTAGTGCTGTTAGTTTGGTCACCTTGCCAGCTTGTTCGGGAACTGCAGGGGAGTTTCCGGCGAAATATTTCGCGGATAAATCAATACAGGAATGACGCCTTTTCATGATTTTTTGCATGTAGGTATCTTGGACAGAAATGTATAAAATCGTATGTAAATTATGTATATGAAGACTTTATCTGCATAATTAATGAAATTAAAAACTTAAATTGTTGTACATAATAGGACTTTGATGCATGTAATGTAGGCAATCTATGGCAAGTGGAACATTAACAGATACAAATTTTGCTATAATTCCTATTGGTAAATGATGGGCATTTTATACTTGTTACATATGTGAGTTAGTTTAAGGTTGACATCCACATGCATATATTATGCTATTTGCATAATTAATTATGAAATGTTTAAATGAAACCTTGCCGAAGGTTCCACATAAGAAATATATGTAATTTGAGTACAGAAAACCATATATACACTATGTGTTACATGTAATCATCACATTACAATATTATTATATCAATGAGAACAACCCAAAGTTGTTAAGATCTGTCCGTCTCTCTCGCTGTTTCATGTTTCCCATATGTTAACCACGTTCGTCTGACAAGAAGTGATCAATGGACACATTTAATGTTAATAAAAAACTATTGTTAGTTGAGGAACTCCTTGCGCTAGCTCAGGGACTATCCCAAACATGCCCGTAGCCAGGGGGGGGGGGGTTCGGAAGAAATAAAAAATTATCTCTGATTTTTTCTTGGAAATCCTTTCAAAAATGCATGAAATGCCATTTTCAAAATTTTCCGGGGGGCATGCTCTCGAGGTCCCCTCAAGCAGTGGGAAGAACCCCCATTCAAAATCCTGGCTACGGGCATGCCAACATTCCTCCGAGTGTCACAAAAATATAGAGAGCAGTTCTTCATAAAAGAAATGTTTACGAAGCTTGTAGAAGGTCACGGAAGGACATTGGCAAATCGCCAGCCTGAGTTCATATTTGCACACAACCTGCATCCTGAATGCATCATCGCAGTTCTTTAAACACCATAAAATTTCTCCTAATTTCTCTGAGACTTTCAGTACTAATCGTGTTTTTTGGCGTTGTTGTGTAGCCTACGGTTTTTAAAATACATGTAGGGGTTCCGCAAGTCGCCCAACTAAAGCGACGGTCACAACTCGCCGTGCGTGCTTTTTGTCCGTACGTTTTTGTCGTGGCTACGTCTGCTACGTTTTTTTTGCAAACGTAGGGTGGCCGGCCGAGGGAGTACGTCACTCGCAAGGTGTACGTACGTGGTCTGCACGACACGCCTGGCCGTCAGCGGTTGCGTGCATCGTACGTTACGCAAGTGGTAAGTGAGTTGTACGTGCTTACAACGTACGATCTCTGTGCGATTGCCACGTTGCCGCGTACAGGCCGTACCTACACGTGCGGCGTGCGCACGATTTCCTTACTCACTCGCACGTTGTAAGTGCGTGCACCTCCTGTTAACTTCATCATCACTAGCCGCCCTGGTGTCTTCCGCGGCCCGTTTCTTTGGATCTTGTCTGGTAGACTTCTTTTGAGCCTTCCTGGGCATCTTGGAGACGAGTTGGCAGTCGCCCGTCAAGTCGTCTTTATATACTGTAGAAATAAGGTGCGTTGCACGTGCGTTGCACGTGCGGAGCACCTAGTATGGTGCACGTGTGTTCTGCGTGGTCATTGAGCAGGTCAACTGGGAAGTGAGGAGTAAGCACGGATGACGCAAGCACCGTGCGTGGCACTCACGTGCTTCGTGCGCTGTCCGTACAGCAATTGCACGTGAGAATAGTGAAGTTAGACTCACGGAGTCCGTACGTTGCACGCTCATAGGCTGTACGGGGCACGCGCGTCGCACGTACTCGCACGCACGGGTGGTAAATCCGCAGACCGCACGTAGAAAAAGTATTACATGCACTTAAGGTTCTACGGCGTGTCTGCGTGCTCCCAAATCCGTAGGATTCCGTACGGAGGCGGTACTCACCACGCACGGATGCCGTACGTTTGCCCACGTTTTTGCACGTAGACAGCACGCAGAAGCACGTACGGCGAGTTGTGACCGAGGCTTAATATATATGTCAACGGAAGGTTACTAGAGAAAATGACACATTCTACAAATCGAATGTTCCTTTTCTTCTATATTGATTTCTATTGGCAAGGCACCTACAGAACAGAGAAGTAAAGTATTACGCAAGAGGCTCACAGGCCAGAATAACCTCGTCATCTCGGCTCTTAAAGCAGAGTACACTGACGATTGCAGACATAAAGACAACACAACAATCCTAGTGTCTACCAGACTAACTACGCTGGCCATAACATTAAGGAGAATTCTTGCCAGGGGAGATTGGCCGCCTTGGGGTTTGACTGGCCGCGCAGTTAGGAAAGAAAGTCCACCTTCCGCGGACTGACTCGCCTGGCCAATTTTACTCTCCTTTCGCCAAATGCTGTATACGATCCGTATCCGGAAAAGCTGGTGGAGGCTACAACAAACGCACGCACGATGTGGCGAACTTACCTTAGTTAGCGAACGTCCTCACCCGTACACGTACGTCCTGGGGCTAAAAGTCACAGTAACTCCTACAACGTCTCTTAACTGTTATATAGCGACCGTGACTTTGACAAAGACGACTGTCCGTCCCTTTTTAGAAACCCACTAACCTTGATAACCACCTTTTGTGGACGAACGCACCACGTATATATATGGTTGTTATGTAGGAAATGGTCGCCCAGCCAGTGGTTTTCGCCTGATATGTTTACATGTCTGGGGAGTAGAGGTTTAAAAACATGGTAGTCACGTGGTTTGTGTCAGCGACCTGACAGTACTACACTATACAGTTCGCCCTTGTTGTCTAACTTGAAGGTCGGCCGAACGATTGTAGTTCGGGGTTTGCCGGTCAAAATTTTGTTATTTCAGCGAAGGGAATTGAAGATGGAATGAAGAGACTACTCTTCCTTTACACAACCAAGAGGTTTTTCAGCCGACGTTACGTCGACCGTCTGTCACCTTCCTCGGGACAATTCTGTCTGGTTCACATTGCACAGCACAGGTGATGTTGCCAGAAATGATTAAAAAAAGTCAACTTTTCTGGTCACTTCTTTACAAAGTATATTGAAAGAACCCTACTCCATTCCATAGTGCCATTCGGGGAGTAGGGGTTCCACAGTACTTTGCCGTAATGTGTTTAAAATCAGGAAACACAGCTGTCAGCCATGTTTGTTTACATTCTGGTATTTTGTGGTGGTACCACAAACTAAGTGCACCTTGCGTTTTCTGTTTTAGCGCCAACCATAAATGTCAGAAACGTGAGATAATTGCACAAATATGTGGACTAAGAAATTGAAGTTTTTTTTAAAATCAAAGTATTTCAATTTTTGGATAAAAAATGTTACATAGTGCCCCTTTAATAATTTTCAGGTACAGGTACAGACACGGGTATTAGGTACACAGCCCTAAGTTGTTTTGGTCGTCGCCCTGACCTATATCTGTGACTGGGCGTTGTTTGGCATAGATCCAAGTCTGGAGAGTTCCACAAGTACAATGTACATAATAGTAGAAGGCAAGGACATGTAGAGGGACTGTCCAGTAATGTTGGGGACCGTTCAGATTTTGAAATCCTTTATTATGTACAAGGTTCTTCAACCCTTCTATTTCTAAACTTACAAACTATCCGTTCTATTAAATTGTCTACATGTAGTTAGGATACAGGGAAGCACAATATGTTTTTACATAACATAATCATACAAAATAAACTGAATGTTACCATAACAATGTTACATGGAACAGATGTTGTCCTTGAATGGATATAGAGACAGATCTAAGAGGTAAAATATGTTGGCTATTTTTCATAAAAGGATAAAGGTCAACTGCAACTTTTGTTGGTCAAAACGTAAAAGGTACCCAGACAAAAGTGGATGTCGCATGTGCTAATACAAAAACTGACAACAGAAATCTGACACTATACGTACAATAATAACAGCTCTTGCAGGGTGTCCCAATGTGAGTTGACTTTGACATAAGCCATTACATACGACATATAATGTTACATTGAACAAGAAAGGCCGGCATTTGCATGGGAGCAAATACAGCATATTTCACTCCATCTCCCGACCAATTTGAACATGGACTATAATATTATAAATATGATTCCATAATATTCTACATGAGGAAATCTGTCTGCTATTGACCTTTACTGCTAATTCTGAGGACATTTTTATCATTGTTTATCTAGCAAAAAAACACAACCTTTATTTTGGGGTACCACCAATAAATAGCTAGAACCAGCCAATGATACAAAACAAGCAGCGTAACTGTCAATAACATGACATTTTTGCCTCACAGATATCAGTACATGCCATGGGATAGGAATGATTCAACCAACATCAAAAGAATGACAGTCACTGGAAAATTGACTTCGAAAATTGACTTCCAGTTTTGCTGCCATTTAAAGGACTCCCCTCATCTTTTCCTCCTCTGTCTCCACTTGTAGACAGCTGGTGCTTCGGGCGTCTCCTTGGTAACCATTTTCCTGGCTGACTTCCCCTTGTTCTGTAAAACACAAAAGTTACCCAGCTGTGTCAGCTACTGGGTTTGTTCTGCTTTTTATAAAGCCTTGGATACACAGGTGCATGCACACATACACATCACACAGACACACACACACACAGGTCAGGGCTCGAAATTCATTTTCGGGAATAGGTGCACTGGTGCACCCAACCCAAAAAAAGTAGGTGCACAAAATTTTCTTCAGGTGCACCATATAAAATAGAATAAATGGAATGAATGAATGAATGACTTTATTTCAGGAAAAAAAAACCCATAGTACAGACAGGACCACATAGACACTAAACACACAACAATCTATATACATTTTTAAAATACGTGTTCCTGAATTGGCAGTCTGATCTCAAAAGACAGCATATAATGCTATTATTGGTGGCGTATATTCTATTAATGAAAGCATAACACAATTTCCTGCGTCTAGCATCGAATGTATCGGTCGAGAGGTGTACAAACATTGAACTGGCACTACAACCTCTTGGCAACTTAAGGAGAATACGAAAACAATTATTGTATGCAACACGACACTTAGCTAGTACACTTGCATGAACAGAGTTCCATAACTGGACTCCAAACAACTGAGAACAGTAGGACATAAACAAAGTCTTTTTCACAACGGGCGAACAATGATAGAATTTACGATTTATACAATTGGTATGGCGATATAGGCGTCTAATTTCAGCTCGAACACAGTCATTGTCACTTAACTTCACATTTAAATGAATCCCAAGATATACAAAAGAATCCACATATTTCAACTCAACATTATAAATTTTCACGGCGGGTAGAGGCTGCTGGAGTGGAAGGCCAGCGCTCGGAAAGTACATACAACAAGTTTTATTTGTATTAAACAAAATATCATTTACCTTACCAAAATGTTCACATATCCCAACCAGTTTCTGAAGGGATTTAACACTGGGGCATATCAAGCACAGATCATCGGCGTACAGCAGATGGTTTACAATAAAACCGCCGACACGACAGCCAACTCTGGCATTTTTCAGTTTTAGACTAAGATCATCAATATAGATGTTAAATAGATGAGGCGACAAAAGGCTGCCTTGTCGTACCCCATTGGAGACAGTGAACCGGGTTGACAAAGTAGAACCCCATCTAACACACATGGTCTGGTTCTCGTACCAATAGACCAGAAATCTCACAAGGTATAACGGTACATTCCTTTCAAGAAGCTTTTTAAACAAGAGCCAGTGGTTCACACGATCAAAGGCCTTGGAGGCGTCCATAAAACAAACGAATACGGGAGATCCCAGTCCCTTGTAATATTCAATAATTTCCTTCAGAGTAAAAACACACATATCAATACCATGCTTGGGTTTAAATCCAAACTGGTAGTCAGATGTCTGAAGGAAGGGTTTAAGGCGACTAAGTAACAGCGACTCCAAGACCTTGGAAAGTGCAGAGGTGATGGCAATCGGTCTATAGTTATCACTACTGGAAATATTACCTGATTTGTTCTTAATGACAGGCACAATGATGGTATCCAACAAAATATCAGGAATAAAAGTGTGCACAATAACAGATGTCAATAACAATGAAAGATAAATACAAATTCTTGGGCCCGCATACTTCAAATGTTCATTACAAATACCATCAGAGCCAACAGCCTTCCCATTGGGCAATTCCTTAATGATGTTAACAAGTTCCAACACAGTAATTTGCATATCATAATCAAATTCACATGTACGTGACATAGCAGACATCACAGGTGGCTTGTGAGCCCGGTTATCAACTGAATTTAAAAGACACTCAAAATGCTTTCTCCAGTGATCAGCAATATTCACAGAACCTGAGCATCCATCGAATGTCATCAAAAACTTATATCATGTTTTATTTCTAAACAAAAATACTACAACAAATGTTTTCTTGTTTCTCTGACACAAGAATATGCTGTATACATTGTAGTAGTTTACATTTGGGTGTACTGGTGTACCTACAGAAAAAAATGGGTGCACAGCTTCAATTTTGGGTGCACTAAGGTGCACATGCATCCTGTATTTCGAGTCCTGCAGGTGCATGCACACACGCACACGTGCATGCACACACATCACACAGACACACACATCACACACACACACACGTGCATGCACACACATCACACACACACACACATCACACACACACACACGTGCATGCACACACACCACTGACCATCAAGTTTTTCTTGATGTCCATTTTCTGTCGGATGATGTGTAGTTGTTTTTCCCTTGCCATCCTCTGCTGTAGCTCACTGTAGTTCTGTTCTCTGTCTTTGGCCACCTCCTGTTGGGACACAAGTCAGATACACACAGATGTGAGTGAGAGAGTGAAGAAAGGAATGGACAATTGATACCTAAAGACGACATGAAACCAATGAATATGAAATACAGTACGACTGTTCCTGAAAATTTTTTTTAATATATATAATGTGCTATAGTGAGCAATACCCACTGATTGTACATACACATGGTAAGAATACAGTTTAGTGGGCAATCAATGGCTCACAGCTGCCAAGTGTTCTCAAAGTGTTTGGACATTTGGACAAAAAAATACAGGTACTACTCTTCTGACGTTAGGCCACACCAACTTAATTTTATAGATGACATCTGCACACGCATTGATTTTCACCTGTTATTAAAAAAAAAAAAATTTTATTTTTGGCCCGACTATTTTTATTTTTGGCCGGACAAGGTGTACTAGTTTTGGAGTCTTTAGAGGATGTCATCCATAAAATTACGTCGGCGTGGCCTTAGGGAAGATCAAATCTTGCAAAGTATCCTTCCAGTTCTTGATTAATCTGCAGCCATTTTTATTTCGGCTTGAAACGTTCCTTTGAGAAGCACACAATACGTAATTATCATATCTACATATTATCATTGCAAGAATGAATGAAAGACCTTTATTGTACGTTTGTGCTCTAACAAGCTAAGTACAGGTCATGGGTAAACAGGGAAAAGAATACAGTAATGACACTTACATACTATATAAACTAATGCGATCTACTATTTACAGGTTCAGCTTCTTCTCGCTTCTTGATGCAGTTAAAGATGTACGAACATATTGAGCTAATGATACATGGTTTGTCAAGTTTCATGAGGAATTCGAATTTTTCTATTCTATCTAAATGTCTAAAGCTTGGGAACTTATCTATTACATAAGTATAGAGAGAATCCCTCTCATTTCTATATAATGTGCAGTCAACTACAAAATGGCATTCATCTTCAATATTATCTAGATTATAAAATTGGCAGATCCTTTGCTGTAGAGGATTGTGGTTGTGTCTTCCCTTTTCTATGCGGATGTTTGCTTTTGTTTGCTTCTCAGAAGAACAAGCTGTGGTGCCAGGTTCTGAACTGGCTGCCATACTTACCTTGAGGTCTTTGTTCATTGAATAAATTAAATACCTATCACTTTTGACTACTACATGTAGTATTTTCAGGAACTGTAACAGTTGTAGTCCATTGTCATTGGTTTCATGTTGTCTTAACTCTAAGTGTTGTCTTGAAAGCATTACTTTATCATTATTGAGAAAAATATCCACACTGCTACTAGTATACATTTGTACCACATAACATAATAAACATGTACATGTACAAACAGCTACCTTATCAAATTGAATGTACAAGTTGATACATGCTTGTATATATTGTGTCTTTTGTAAAATGGCTTCATTTGAAAGCTGCATAGCAATGACAGCCACATAAAAGAAGTACTGTACTGGACTCTTTCATGATCAGGAAATTCAATGCCACTAAGTGTTATGAGAGCCCCCTTTCAGTATAGACGTGAACTGCAGTGTCCCACCTGTAAATCCTGTGCTCCAGCCACCCTGTGTGACTGCAGGGTTTCTGTCCTGGGCCTGTTGAAGGTTCGTGAGGCCAGCTCTTTGGTTGTACCCAGGTGTTTGGCAAGATCAAAGTCTTTCACTGCAAAACATCATCATCAGATTTATCAAACAATGATACCTTCTGCTGTAAAACAAGTGATAGTGATAGAATTTTGATGCAAATACAGTGATCCTTAATAGCCTTTTGTAAGATTTTGACTAAATTAGAAATTCTGGAACACACTCACTATCCAAGACTTGATTTTTCTGTTGCATAAATCCCTGACGCAGGAATAGGCAGCAGTCTGGAACTATTTTTGTATGTGAATGTGATAGAATCTACATCAAACCAAACCTGAAAATCGTTGTCCTAATGTGTGTGTGTGTGTGTGTGTATACACATGTGTGTGTGTGTGTCTTTGTGTGTGTGTACACGTGTGTGTGTACACTTGTGTGTGTGTGTGTCTGTGTGTACATGTGTGTGTGTACACTTGTGTGTGTGTGTGTATACGTGTGTACACTTACATTTGTATGTGCTTGTGTGTCTGTGTGTACACGTGTGTATGTACACTTGTGTGTGTGTGTACGTGTACACTTGTGTGTTTGTGTGTCTGTCTGTGTGTACACTCTTGTGTGTGTGTGTGTGTGTACACGTGTGTACACTTGTGTGTGTGTGTGTGTACACGTGTGTGTGTACACTCTTGTGTGTGTGTGTGTGTACATGTGTGTACACTTGTGTGTTTGTATGTCTGTGTCTGTGTGTGTGCTTGTTTCTGTGGGTTGAACTTGAGCCACATATAAGCTACTTGCTTCATGCTTCACCAGCTCAGTTGAGAATGACTGCTTACCTTACGTTTGAAATCTCCTATTTCTTGTTTTGCGTAATACAGTAGAAATAAAAGTAGTCAGTCTTACCTTCTTCCTTGGAGTCTAAGAAGAAGGTGTGTTTGTTCTTGGCTCTGTGTCCGATCATGTGCAGCTCAGACTGCAACTTCTCCACTTTCTGCAACAACATTAACAACTTATACCGGGGCTCAAAATATGTTTACCTAAATACCTGCACTAGTGCAGGCAACATTTGAAATTACCTGCAACAGGCAGGTTTTATCTAGTTTTACCTTTCTTCACCTTTCATTTCATTAAGAAATTGTAATGTTTTGAAAAAGAGTTTCTACTTCTAGTGGCACCATTTTTAATTCTACAATATTTTACTTATAAAGTCAATGACCTGGACCAAACATCTGTCACCATGGTAACTGGTGCTGTGGTGTTGGGTTACATTATGTACATGTAGCAGGCAGAGTTGGAGTGGCAGGTCACCATATATACATGTATATACATAAGTATTTTAGTAAGAATGAACAGAGCAATACTTTGTTAGGCTAGACCATGTGAACATTATGCATTTTGCATTGCAAATGTTACCCTAAGGCTTGTAGTTTTACAAACCTTTGCCTCTGCAGATAACTTGTAGTCCACATATCTAATGTCTTGAGTCTGCATGAGTTTCTTCTGTTCCGGTGTGGCTCGTTCTGTGGTTTGGAGTTCCGCATGTTTTCCTCCCTACACAATGTGAACACACCAAACTTAAATAACATAAAATACATAAAGAATGTTTCAGACTTCTAGTATTTTATTGGGACCAGTGCTTTAGCCAGCCTGGATTTTTTCTGTTCTCTCAATTCTGTTTTCCATACTATCGTCAAGCGCTTATGGCACAAGTCACATAAAAAGGTCAGCATGTGCCAGCTTGTTGTAAAAGTACATGTAGCCATGTACATGTACAACCGAAAATCCACAACACCAGCTTTGTATATTCCTGGTTTAGCAGTATTTTCATTTGCCCACACATACTAGTTTGGGAATCTTCAGATGTAATCTATAAAATTAAATCAATGTGGCCTTATGTATACCATGAGTTTTGTACAAGTATGTAGATAATCTGTGATTAGTATTATTAGGTCTCTTTATGTAGATGATGTATGTCTAATGCTCAGTTGACTGATTTCTTCACCTTGAGTCTAGAGTTGATCATGTGGAAGTAGAACTCATCAGGATTGTGTTCCAGGGCCTTCTGCTTCAGCCGCTTCAAAATACCCTGTTTGTTGTGGTAATCCCTGTAAACAACAACAAGAAATCTGTGATTACAAACCTCTGGGAAGTACATAACACATAATGTTCACAACAACTGCTGAAAACTTCAGATATCACCTAAAGGCCTTGAAAAAAGTGTTTCCTGTTTCTCAAAGACCCTAAAAAAACTGCTGACACTAGCCCTTTTTTGTGAACCCCTGCAAGGGACATACGAAGTTGAAAAAAATTACTGGTTTTCAAAAAATTAATAAACGTACTGTGCAAAATAAGAACATACTGGGTGGATGTTCGGGCCCAAAAAAAATAAACGTACCCGTATGTTTATTCGGCAGATGAGAGTACATATTTCAAGCTGATTAATCTTTTCTAGTTCTATGAATGATCTGACACCTGAGTGATAAAATGGTTTTCCAACATTGACATTGACATTTTAAACATGTCCTCATGCAAGTTTGATGTTACTGTTGGATCGCAAATTGGATCACTAGAAATTGTCAAAGTCTACCGACCCTAACTTTTGTAAGACTGAAAAAGTAAACAACAATTTTTTTCCTACGCCTGCTACTAGTATCAGCAATGTTACCTGTAACCTACATCTTTTGAAAGAGGTGTTTGATATCAGAATACCTGGGTCTGCCTATTTACCAGAAAACACATATAGGAGGCTTAAATCTATTCTGTAATCGCGAACATATTGCGTTATGCTATATGTAAACAAACATGGCGACTGGCCGGGTTGCCTCTGCCGATTCATTTCAGGGCTGTAATCAGTTGCAAAAGGACAGAAAAGCAGGAAAAACCGTGACAATCATCCCTTCCCCCTGGTCGTTATTGGACATTCCCCGGTTTTAAGTGCTATCAGATTAAAAATAACGGTTGTCCTGCGACCCTGAGATGCCTGCTATAATTTTCCCTCCTTTTCTGTCCTTTTGCAACTGATTACAGACCTGAAACTTTGTAGACATATAGAAGAGACCCCAAGCCAGGATCACAATATGTAATTTTAGTTTTACATTCAAGATCTATTGGGTATGAAGAGAGATATCGTGGGCGTTTGTGGGCGTGCCCTTTTTCGACGTTTTCTGGGTGGGTGTGCGCTTTTTCGACGCTGACAATCTTTCAAAATCATTTACCTTAACGACTACTTACAGATCTGAAACTTTGTGGGCATATTGGGATGATCTCCAGGATTACATAACCTGCCTTGGATTTGTTGTTTGTCGAGTCTGGGCTGGGCATTTATGGGCTTTTGTGGGCATGCGCTTTTTCGACGGACCTGTACTTGTACCTGTACTTGTACCAGTACCTGATGTTACGTTTAGGTACACAGCCTTACTAGCACCAGTACAGGTACATGTATGCTGCCTATAGTCCAGAAACATGTGATTGTGAAGATTTTTACTTACTTGGATCTCAATTTGTAATCCTTCTTCTTCTCCAGTAGACCAAGATGACTCCTAGACGAAAGCTGACGTAAAAGAAATTATATGAATAGATATTAATTACTGGTCAGCATGCAAAATATCTGGTTGCCCAGTTGTCCCGGGCAACCAAATTTTACTTGGGGCAACCTATTTTTGCTACCTGAATGCCCCCCCCCCCCCAAATCATGCCTGGCTTGCACCACTGTATCCGGCAGATGCTTTTTAATTTTAAGCTATTACTAGTATAAGGCTGTTAGAAATATTGTCAAAGGCTTATGTATGTACCATTACTTTATTTGAGGAAAGTAGTATTATAGGTGGAGCAACCTACATGTAAAATTCTGATGGGCAGCGCAACCTAATTTTTGCCGTAGGTTGCCCACTGGGCAACCTGGTTCCAAAAAGTATTTTGTACACTGCTGGTACAAATTATAACTGAAGAAATCAACGTCTGTTGGAGACTAACGGTTTGAATAGCACGATAACTTTTGAAAAGCATGATATTCTGCATTCTGTTGAAATTTGCTTGATAGCATAAATATTCCAAACACATGTACATGTACAGAAATTTTCATATATCCATCTAGTTACCTGGCCCCTTTCCTTGTGGTCCTTCTGACGGGCCTTTGCTGCCTTCTTAAAAGACGACATCTTCGTTTTACTCTCGTATTCCCAAGTTACGCAGAAAGGAGATATTAGAGGTATCCCTAAATATTTTTTGCGTGCCGAAAAAAATCACATGGGCGCAGCCATCTTGGTTCTCAAAACGAGGTTAGCTATCGCAAAGCATCATGGTCCTCCTGACAAAAAGGACTATTCCACTAACAAATTGGGGGGGGCATGAATTCAAAACAAGTGTAATTTAAGGGCAGAAGAACAAAAACGTTTGGGAAAGCATTTAAAATGCAGCAACACCTGTACTGTGCAATGTGAACCAGTGAGATTTACCCCGAGAAAAGTGACAGACTTCTTCTAATCTGTCTGATATTCACATTTACTGCTACTTTGGTCGTCAATCACCATTCAGTCATACTTGAAGCATTTGAAATGGCCCCGAAACAAGCTACGTGAGGAGTTCCATTATTTTTGGTACCACAAATAGATAACTATTACCAGCCTATGATTCAAAACAAGCAATTATTTTGTCTTACAGACTCCACTGTGCTATGGAATAGGGTTGATTTCGTTTGCTAGGCCATGTTGATTTGATTATATGGATGACATCCGCGCGCGCATGAATTTTCGGCCGTTTCCAAAAAAAAAAGTTTTCAACCATACTGTAAATCGTGCAAAACAGTTGCTAAATGAGCAAAAATATGCCATAAGTTACAAGGAAAACATTTAGAAACGGTACCAATGTCGTAGAATGCCAAAATCAAAGGAAAAAAGACAAAAATGTAAAAAAATGAATTCGAAGAGTAGATTATTCGCCATAACATATTCTGTGCCATTTGTTCAACCTTCATGACCACGTAGATTTCATAGTGAAAGCACCTTTTTTTTTTTAAACTTTTTTTAT